ATTATAATCTGCTGATTGTTTGTCCCTCTTTGCTGAACGCTGTGGATCAGTTTTAATGAACTACTCAGATATGGTTCGTCTACAGAACAGAAATAAACTTTCATAAATGCAGCCAATCTTCCGACCAGCAGGACTGAAGCCAAGAGTCTGTGCAGGACGTTGGTGAGGAAGACAGGGGGCGCTATGCACCCACAGCTGCTGGAAGCTGCTTCTTTTTTCTAAGGCCAAAACTTAAATATGAATGCCATGCAGTCTTATTCAGTAAGTTAGGGTATACGTCCTGATTAGGCTTTTTGAAAATAACTTTTTATCAGGTATTAAACATACTGAGAGATATAAATATGTGAAAACATCAGTCACCTCATGAATCCATATAATGTCTCAGTTGGTGAGACATTATAAAAATGAACTTTTCCGTCATATTTTATTTTATGGTTTATATCTGCTCAGTGGTTGTTTACAGTTCAAAATAGTTACAAAATTCAGCAATATTTTCTGAGAAGAATTATCACAATAATATAGTTTCCTTTTATTTCCTGATCTTATGAAATGCTCAAACATTAGATTCATAAAAATCAAAGTGATATTAAAAGCAGAATAACCGTGTGAGCCAAATGACTGGGCTTTGTAACCCTACCCTCCACAGCAGACCAGATATGATGCATCTTTAATGTAGCAAACATGTCTTTACTGTAAAATTATACAATAAGACAGGTTTTAATTCATCTAAGGATGTTTTTCTGTGTCGGCTGTGATTCTGCTGCTCATGTCTCTGTTGTGGAGCAGAGGAGCCACATGTTGCTGTATTGGCCGGTTAGCCGCTGCAGCGAGTGACGTGAACCTGCAGGAGCCAAAAATGGCCCCATATTCATCATCCAGTTTCTATTAAATGTGACTTAAGTTAAAGCTGAGATGTTTGAATGTGTAAAGTCTGTATTCTCTCTGCATGCAGATCTATAAACAGTTTGGTTTCTCTGTTTTAACCAGCATTACATGCAGACCCGTTGCCATGGCAACAGCTGCATGAGCCCACAGATTACATCAGGAACATAAACACAAAAAACATTTCAGACAAAGTGCTTAAAACCCCAGAACACTCAGTCTGCTAGTTTTCTGTTTTTGAATTTTCATGTTTTGATCATTAACAAGTGATCACCTGGACGCCCGCTGTGATTGGTTCGCTAAGTTAAGCACCTGCTCCACTGATAATCTGTCAAAGTTGCAGCGCGGGTTCATGTTAGCCGACTTCCTTTATATATTTTAGTGGAAACATTTTGCTGGCTGTGAAACGTGCTAGCAGTTAGCCGCTTCCTGACTCAGCGCGGCGTCCAACCCAACAATCACTGATGGGACTCATTAGTTACATTTTATTTTGAAAAGCATAGCTGGAGGAACATGAAGGGAAAAAAAATTAGGAAATACTGTTGGAGACATGTCCCTGTCCGGACGCGTCCTCGACGTCCCTCAGAAAGGCTTAAAGTGAGGTCCAGCTCTGGGAATATTTTAAAAATAGTTTTTCCGTCTTTAATTAGATAATTTTTGTAGTTTTAATTTTGTTTTTCAAGGCAAAACGCCAGCCCAGCATGAGGCAGAGTGAAGACTGTCGGTTTTATTTAGGATCATAATTCCAGATCAATGATCAGATAATATTCATCAAGTTCACTTCAAAATAATGAACCCAAATATATCCCCAAACCAGAGCAATGGGTTGGATGACTGGACTGAGAGTCACTTAATTCAACAGTAAAATTAAGTTAGAATATAACAATATGATGAAAAGTCATTGTTTGGTTTAAAGTTCAGTTATAACTAAACCAGAAACGTTTCATTCTGAGGTAGGAACCAACCTCAGCGCCGCTCGTTTCTCTCTACCTTTAATCAGCAACGCACAGTTAGGTAAAGCTGAGTGGCTGTTAGCAATAGCAGCTAACGGGTCCATACGCACACCTGCGCTGGCCTCTGATTGGTCCAAGACCAGAACCGTCACCAGAGGAAAAAGCTAACCCAGAGTGTCCTGTAGGGGCCGCTGTCCCTCCGTCTCTCTGTCCCCCCCGTCTCTCTGTCCCCCGTCTCTCTGTCCCCCGTCTCTTGGACGTCCTCAGCGTCTCGGTTCTGTTTCAGATGGGGAACTAAACGTTCTGGAGGATCTTCTGACCGAAGCGCCGGATCAGGACGACGAGCTCTACAATCCGGAGACGGAGCGCGACGTCGGTGACAAGAAAGGTACGGAACCGCCTCCCTCAGAGCCTGGACTCTGTTCTGGTTCTGGATCGGTTCAGTCTGACCTCACATGATGCCACTGTAAGCGATGATGTCACAGCAGCAGGTCCTCTCTCTCTCAGGAGTGAAGAGGAAGAGCGAGCGATCGGACAGCCAAGACGTGAAGAGGCTCCGCCCCTCGTCAGGCCACGCCCCCTCCAGGTCCTCTGCGAAGCGAGCGCTGAGCTCCAAGAAGCCGTCCAGCCCGCGCCGCCACGCCACCGCCTACCATCACGAGTACTACGAGGAGCGAAAGGGGCGGCGTGGGCCCCGAGAGGGCCCGCGTAGTCGCGGTGCGGAGGACGATCGGCGCCGGGAGTCACAGCGCGGTGTGGAGGCTCTGAGCCGGGTAACGACCCTCACCCTGAGCGCGCCGCCTGCCGCTCATGTCATCGCTCACTTCCTGTTTGTGTTTAGAAGCTGCGGCGCGACGAGAGGCGAGTGAGCCCCTCCCCTCACGGCGAAGACAACCAATCGGAGGAGGAGGCGGAGTACAGCTCAGAGCCGGCGTCGGGAAGCTCCTCCCCCGCCGTCTCGCACGGCGACGACGAGGAGGAGGAAGAGGAAGAGGACAATCAGGAGGAGGAGGGGGAGGAGGGCATGGAGGAGGAAGAGGAGGAGGAGGAGGGAGAGAAGGAGGATGAAGATGAGGAGGAGGATGAATATGATGAGCGTCATGGCGACGGGAACGACTACGACACGCGCAGCGAGGCCGGCGACTCTCGCTCCGCCTCCTCCGTCAGTTTCTCTGACGGAGAGTCAGGACGCTCAGGCTCCGCCTCCGAAGCCTCAGGTAACCATGGCAACGACCGCCGTTCACCTCAGCAGCTGAAATCGGTGCTGTGCTTTTATTCTGAAATCAGTGCTCGGCTTTATTCTGAAAGGGTCGGAGAAGAAGCGAGAGAAGCTGTCGTCGTCGGTTCGAGCCGTTCGGAAAGGAATGGAGAGTAAGAACCTTCCAGACCCGGTGGTACTGATCCGGCGGTACCGACTCGGCCCGCTGCCTGAACGCGCTTATGTCTTTGCAGATCCCACCAGCAAGCTGCGCTACATCCTGCGGGAAGCCCGCTTCTTCCTCATCAAGAGCAACAACCATGAGAACGTCTCCCTGGCCAAGGCGAAGGTCGGTCCACGGCCCCCTGTGCTGGCGGCGCCGCCGCCGTGCACTAATGTTGATTACTGTGCTCTGTCTCCATGGCGACCGTGTCCTGCCTTCAGGGCGTCTGGTCCACGCTGCCGGTCAACGAGAAGAAACTGAACGCCGCCTTCCAGTCAGCGCGAAGCGTCATCCTCGTCTTCTCCGTCAGGGAGAGCGGCAAGTTCCAAGGTGCCTTCATCTGCTTCCTGATTCCTCCTCATCGCTATGACTTCCCGTTTCCATGGCTCTGACTTCCTGTTGCCTGCAGGTTTTGCTCGCCTGTCGTCAGAGTCGCACCATGACGGGTCTCCGATCCACTGGGTTCTTCCTGCCGGGATGAACGCCAAGATGCTGGGCGGAGTCTTCAAGATCGACTGGCTCTGCAGGTCAGCTGCTTCCGGAACCCGGACCGACCCGGTTCCGGTTGGACCCGGTTCTGACAGCCCTGTGTTGCAGGAGGGAGCTGCCCTTCATCAAGACGGCTCACCTGTTTAACCCCTGGAACGACAACAAGCCCGTGAAGATCGGACGGGATGGCCAGGTGAGCACGTCAAGGTCCTGGTTCCGGTCCAGGCTCTGGACCCGGTTCCTCTCCAACCCTGCGCTCTGTTGCAGGAGATCCAACCGAAGGTGGGCGCCCAGCTGTGCGCCCTGTTCCCATTGGACGAGAGCGTGGACGTGCACCACGTGGCGCGGCGCGTGCGTCAGAAGGGCCAGACGCCGTCAGAGCTGCGGCCGCGTGGCCGCCCACCGCAGCGCGAGCCGGGAAGGTTAGCCAATCACCGAGCTCCTCCCCCGCTTCCTGTTCTGCCGCCGCAACACGGCGCCACCTGCTGCCGGACCACGGACACGGCGCCGCTCTGTTGTTGCGCCATTCTGGTTGAAGCTTTGAGTCAGGCAGGAAGTAGTTCCTCGGCGGCGTGATGAGGTCACCAGATTGAGGAGTTGATGTGTGATTGGAGCGCCGCCTGCTGATGATGGCGGCGGCAGAGCGGCGCAGGATGGAATTTCTCTCATGATGAAATTTTGTCTTTGCAGGAAGTTGTTTGGCGGGTAGTCGGACTGTGGCTGACCTTTCAGAATAAAAGGACGATGGACTGATGGGGGGGAGGGGGGTGGAACTGTTTCTGGCTTTGAGCAGGTGGGCGTGGCCGGGGGCGGGGCTTCCTGGCTTTCTGTGAGGTAAATCACAGAAACGAAGGACTTTTGGACTGACAGCAGGGCCCCCCCCCACCTCAAGGACAGTGTTGTCCCCTCCTACCCCCCCTGCTGGGGCAGACTGTCGGGGGGAGGGGGGCTGATGGACTGATCTGGCGCCCGGGGGAGGAGCCAACGGACGCCGGAACGCCCTGATTGGTTGCTTGTGTTCAGGACTGTTGGTATGGAGGGGGCGGGGCTTGGGCTCAAAGGGGCGGGGCTTTCGGTGTTGATTAACAGGACTGCACCATCATCATCACCATCACCCTTTCAAAATAAGAGGGTCTGTAATGGACGTGATGAGGAACTGTTTGTTAGTTTTCCCTAACGGCTCCAGCAGCGGTATGTCGCCCTCCAGAGGCTTCTTCTGTTTCCTTCCTGTGTGAGTGAGAGTGTGACTAGAGCCAGAGTCAGAACCAGAACCGACCCGACCGCAGGACTGTCGCTGGGAGGACGCTAACCTGAGCGCGGGTCTGTGGACCGGGTAACTGTCGCCATGGTGACAGGATCAGAACGGCAGCAGGTAATGTACCAGGGTTCATCACCATGACGACAGCAGCAGCACCTGGCTGCTCTGATCCCGCCTCCCTGCTCAGGCACCTGCAGACGACGCTCAGGGAATACTGTACCTGCCTCGATGTGTGTGAGGCTGAGTGTGTGTGTGTGATTTTGTCCGCATGTGTGTGTCTTAATTGTGGACTTGTTCACGTAGGCGTCGACCTGAAGAGTATGACCTTCACGGCAGGAAGCGACCGCGAGCCGACGGCCCGCCCGACTTCAACCAGCGGCCAGGTGCAGATCACCTGTTCACATGCCTACTAGCATGCTAGTTTAGCTTGCTAACTAAATAGCTCAGCCTCTTCACCTGTTAGGTAAATGTTACCCGCTAAGCTGTCATTAACTGTTACTCATCACCAGGATTCATCCCAGACCTACGGAGCCAACCGGTGGACAGGTGAGACTCACCTGGCAGTGGGCGGGACCTCAGTTTCAGGTAGAAAGTAAGATGTGATGTTTCTTCTTGCAGGAGATTCTCCAGTGTGAGACGAGACGTCTTCCTGAACGGGGTGAGTCTGGGGGCGTGGCCTCTGCAGCATGATGTCAGCGCACTCACCTGTATGACGTCTACCTGTGTTCACCTGTTTCAGTCCTACGACTACATGAGGGACTACCACCACAATGTGGGGCCCCCGGCTCCATGGCAGACTCTGGTATGGTTCTTGGTTCTGATTGGATCAGGCATGCTAGCTTACTGAGCCACCTCACCTGGCAGGTGCACCTGGAGGTGGGGCCAGGGCCGTTTTACTGGTTTAGATTCGACCAATCAGAGAGGAGTTAAATTAGAGTGTTCTGATTGGTTGCTGGTTCCCATGAGCCCGCTCCCTTAAGCCGTTTCCACACTGCAGAGTCCGGACCGGCATGCTTCGGTCCGGTTCCACTCGTGCTGCAGTGTTTGCGTATAACTGAGGCCGCCATCGATGCTGTGACGTCATCACGTTTGAAACTAAACGGTTTCCATGTAGCGGCCGAAGCCTTTTCCTCAGAGATGCGGCAGAAAACTTTCTCTTTCCTCGTTGACCGATCCAGTTGGTTCTGTTCATCAGCGAGGAAACGGAGGAAAAACATGACCTCGTCATGTGACCAGGTAACAGCAGAATATTGGGACGAATTCATCGCAAATTAAAAATAAAACTACTAAAAAGAGCACTCTTTACAAAATACAGTACGAACAGTTTAGTGAGAGCCAGCTGGACCCGACCAACGTCTGATTCTAAACCAATCAGCTGCTGGTTCTAAGCAGCCCCGCTTGGCCGGCCCGATTGGAACCACAGCTCTTGTGGTTCCAATCGGGCCGGGTTTAACCGGGTTGGAAGTTCTAATGCAAACACGGTCGGCCCTACTTTGAACCCGTTCCGTTCCTTGCAGTGCGAAAGGGCTTTAGGGAACTGGTTCTAAGCCCCGCCCCTGACCAGCTGACCCTTCCTGTTTGTGTGGACAGGCGGCGTACCCCGGCGTGGAGCAGCAGCCCCCCCACCACCCTCCCTACTACCACCACAGCCACCCCCCGCCGCCCCCCCACCAGGCCTTCCACCACCACCACCCCTCCCTGCCGCCGCACGAGGCTCCGCCCCCTCGCTTCAGAGACAAGCAGCGCGTGCCGCAGCACCGCGCCTTCGCGTCCAGCCCGGTGAGTTCTGATCCGGTTCTAAAATGATCCAGATCAGAACCTGCTGGGTCTGACTTCCTGTTTCCTGTCCTGCAGCACGACTACGACATGCGAGTGGATGACTTCCTGCGGCGCACGCAAGCGGTGGTGAGCAGCCGGCGTGAGCGCGAGCGGCAGCGAGAGAGAGAGCGCGGCGGGCCGCGGCGCGACCGCGAGCGAGAGCGGGCGAGGGACAGAGACAGGGAGAGAGAGAGGGACAAGGAGAGGGGGCGGTACCGCAGGTGATCACTGAGCGCTCTTATTTTGACAGCCTGACTTCCCCTTCATTTTCAAATTATGTATAAATAGCTGCAGGATGACAACATCAGTGTTCACGTCCGTTTCTTCAATAAAGTTTCTTTGGCCAAACTTTTAATTTGAAAGTCCGTAAAAACTTTTTTATGGTGTCTTCATTTCCCAGAATGCTCTCAGTCTGTAGGCTGGGTGCCAACAGGAGGGGTGGGGCCTTCCTAGGGGTAACATGACACAAACAGTACTGGTTTTATTGTGAAAGGTTGGATGTTTCCTGTTGGATCCTTCATATTAAAAGTTTTTTAATGTTCCACATGAAACCTGCCTGTTTTGTCACTTCCTGTTTGATTTCCTTCTGTCTGATTGGTTGTTGTTTGCTGATTGGAGACTCGGAGGGGCCGGAGCCTGAGACTCCTTCCTGCTAAATGAAGGATCCGGATCAGAACCGCCTCAGTGGAGTTCAGTCCAAAACTTTAGACCCGGCAGAATCAGAACATCCGACACACATTCAGTGGAAACTCAGAACTTTGAAGCGGGTCCAAATGCAAGTTTCAGACCAGAAAGCACTTCGACTTGGTTACCCAGAGTTCTTTTGGACCCGGTTCAATAACCAGACCTGCTTGAGTCAGGGTTATGTGACTCAATCTCAAGATAAATCAGAACCAGCAGTTTGGACCTGGTTCTTTATTATTGCTGGTCAGAAGAAACATGAAACCATCTAAGCTTCTGGGAGTATAAATAATTTTGGGCTTTGCAAACCTTTATAAAAGCTGGACTGGGTCCGAGGTCCAGAACCTCAGCGGTCAGTTCCGCTCCTTTTAAACAACCATTAGGTTAAAACTGCAACCAGCAGGTTCTGTTCGGTTCAGAACCCAGATCCTGCTGCAGGTTCTTTATGTTAACCATTTGAACGAGTTAGTGACGTCATTGCGGTTCGGTTCGCAGCTCAGGTTCTGATATGGTCAGCATCATTCAGAACCAGCGGGGGCTTTTGCTTTGAAGGGACCGGAAAGGGCTCCGAAGGTTACAGCAACTTCCGGTTTCTCTGGAGCCGCAGGTCCACGTCAGGGTGAAGTATCGTCGACACAGACAACCCGGAGCAGGACCGAACCGAACCGTGGCACCATGGCGGACGAGGCCACGCGCAGAGCCGTGTCACAGATCCCGCTCCTGAAGACGCACGCGGGCCCGCGGGAGCGCGCGCTGTGGCCGCAGCGGCTGAAGGAGGAGTACCAGGCTCTGATCCGGTTCGTGGAGCAGAACAAGGCTGCCGACAACGACTGGTTCCGGCTGGAGTCCAACCCGGACGGCACGCGCTGGACCGGGACCTGCTGGTTCGTACACGAGCTACTGCGCTACGAGTTTCGCGTGGAGTTCGACATCCCGGTGACGTACCCGGAAACAGCGCCGGAAGTAGCGGTTCCGGAGCTGGACGGGAAGACCGCCAAGATGTTCCGAGGCGGGAAGATCTGCCTGACCGAACACTTCGCCCCGCTGTGGGCGCGCAACGTGCCCCGCTTCGGGCTCGCGCACCTGATGGCGCTCGGGCTCGCGCCTTGGCTGGCCGTGGAAATCCCGGACCTAATCAGCAAAGGTCACGTGGTCCACAAGGAGAAGCCGCGTGATGTGGCGGAGTGACGTCAGAGGGGTGACATATGGACAAGGTTCCGGTTCTGGAACTCTCAGCTGGAACCGAAGTCCTACAGAAACAACACTTCCGGTTCTGCTGTGAGAATGTGATTGCACAGAAAATAAAGTTCTGGTTCCGAGTGTCTGTCTGGTTCTCTTACTACACACCGGGTCATGCAGCATCCTCAGGTGGTTCTGGAGTTCTTTAATCTGTTCAGTTTCTGGATAACAGAACCGGCACCACTCTATAAACTGGGCCTGGTTCTGGATCTGCAGGTTTTCTCCTCAGTCAGGTTCTGAGTCCTGGTTCAGAGCTAAACTTCTGGATCTTGAAATCAGACGGTTCTGGTTCGTTTGCACAGAAGCAGCAGTGTGGCGGTGAACCGAGCCAGTATGGCAAGCCATTTTAACATAAATTCGGTTTTACCGCCCTTACATTCCAGATATCTCAAA